TCACATGATGTCATTCTGCAGCCTGTCACTTCCGATTCGGATCTTGCATGGGCTCCAGTGAAGCCTCTTCTTACATTGTGGTCATGGGATGCTCTCCTTGCTTGAGATGGCCCACATATATCCCATGGCACACACCCTATTTGCATGGCACCCAACACCCAATCATTTGGTGGAAGTTACAGACATGGATAAAAGAGCCATTCCAAATAATTTCACTTCACTACAGACCTCTCCATTCTTTTCCTTGTATTTCAGTTCCTCCCAACACTAAGATGTGCTCTTTCTAGTTTGTTGTTGTCTTTCTGACCTTGGAGATGACTTTTAGACCTACTGGAGAGGGATCAGGTGCGGTAAGCAGAATAGTAAACCAGTCACTGTCAAGTCGATTCCAACTTACAGTGACCACGTAAGACAGGGGGGAGCTGCCCCTGTGAGCATCCGAGGCAGTAACTCTTTATGGGAGTAGAAATAGCCTCATCATTCTCCCTTGGAGTGCTTGGCTGGTGATTGTGATTTCAAACTGCTGACCTTGTAGTTAGCAGCTCAGTTACAACCCACTATGCTACCAGGGCTCCCTCAGCTACCATAGGCTAATTATGTCATTCAATAGTGAAGGCAAAATGTTTTGAGAAAGCTCCTTAGGTGATTCTAATGAGCAGCCATGTTTGAAAACTGAGCAAAGTATCAAGATAGCACTTGTTTAACTCTGAGGTTTTTCTCTCCAAGTATGGTTCCAGGACAGAGCTTCAGCTAGAAAATTGTCGGAAATGCCATCGTAGACACACAGAATCAGAAAGTTTGAGGATCCAGCCCAGAAATTGTTTTAACAAGCATCCCTACAAGAAATGCTAATGTGCCCTAAAGGTCTAGAACAGAGGTCCTCAAAGTTTTTAAAATGGGGGGGCCAGTAAGTTCACTGTCCCTCAGACCCGTTGGAGGGCCGGACTATAGTTTAAAAAAAAACTATGAACGAATTCCTATGCACACTGCACATATCTTATTTTTAAGTAAAAAAACAAAACGGGGCAAAAACACCCGGCGTGGGCGGATAAATGTCCTCGGCAGGCCGCATGTGGCCCGCAGGCCGTAGTTTGAGGGTGCCTGGAGAACCACTGACCTAACCAATAAACTCTCTCCTTACTGCTCTTACAGGGCATGTATGCTAAAATTGATTTTACAAGCTAATGATAGTGATTCTACACAATATAAAAGCAGCTGCTGGAGACCGAAGTGACCGAGCATCCGCGCTGGAAGTGGATGTTTTTAATAAGTACAATTTTTAGGTCATTTTCTTGACCTGTGTCTAAAACAATACAGGATGGTTTGGAGGTATGTATGTGTAAGTGTTACTATATACAGTGACTTTTCTGTAAAATGTGCAGGTAGAAATCAGTGGTTTCATTCCCTTGAAATCTAGCGGGTATTATTGGTAGACACAGTGTTGTTTGTAGTTCAGGGTAAGTAAGCCTTGTTCGCCAAGAGGAAGTCTCTACCTGGAGAAATAACAGGCCACGAGCGGTGCCTACTGCCCACTCCCCGTCTCTATCAAACACACCCAGGGTTTACAAAAGACAAACAGCTCCCACCCCACACACACACACA